CAGCTCTTCCTTTCGGTATCCAATATTTTCGACTTAGATTCAGATAACGTATGTGCAATACCTACGTGTTATAATTCATTATGCTTGTGTAAAATAATAAGATCAGTAATATAATTATGATCCGGTAAATATATGGGATATTTGCTTTCGTCTGTTAATTCTGAATTTTCTAGTCGGTCTATTAATTTCCATAAATTATCACTTTCATTTAGGTATAGATTCCATTTTTCCTTTTCGTCCTCCGTTAGCATTTGTGATTGGGCCTGTTTGATCAGTATAGTCTCTGCTATATCGTAATCAACTTTAGTCATATATTTCTTTTTTACGGATAATGGTTCTAGCCACACTAATTTCTTTTTGCAGGTTTGTTTAATAAATCTAAAAGTCCAAACAGTTACTCGAACTAGTTTTGTCCAACTGCTGAAGCGACATACGTCAATAAATTCAATTATATTCCTTTTAAAAGTTTGAGTCATCTTTGTTAAATTCAAAGCAATTGCTTCTGCAAATTCATCCTTTCCTGAATAGCGAAGTTTGCACTTTGGCCATTCAGATTTCTTGAGTTCCAACCATCGAGTTCCTTTCCACCATTGTTTACAATTTTGGAGTTTAAGTGGTGATCTCCTTTGGTGGCTATATCTGCTGGATTTTGATCACTTGGTATGTAATTTAATTCGAAGTTAGATTTCCTTATTTCTTCGATGCGATTTTGTATAAATCTGGGAAGCAGCTTTGTATAATTCTGTATCCAGTAAAGAACACATTTTGAATCCGTCCACAAAGTAACTTGATTATTTTCAAGATTTAATTGTTTCAATACGAACTGAGCTGCTCTTACTCCAATTAGTACAGATAATAATTCAAGTCTAGGAATTGACATACCTTTAATTGGAGCAATTCGAGATTTAGCATAAATTAAAAATGAATTCGAATATGTGTTTTGATATCCATCATTGAGAACATAAATAGCTGCAGAATAGGCAACTTTCGAAGCGTCAGTAAATATATGGAATTCTGTTAATTGTGAAGTTTCCATTATAAATCTTGGCAGCTCTATTATATTTGTTGGCCATTCTTTGATGAGATTTATCCACTGTTGTTCGTCTTGTTGTTTAAAGATTGATCCCATGGAATATTTTCTTTCCATAAGTGTTGTATGAATAATTTAAGTTTGATCATTGTAGGAACGAGAAGACCCAATGGATCGTATTGAGAGGCTATGAATTATAGGATAGTCCTCTTTGTTAAACTTTTTCCTATCCATGGTTTCAGTGTCACACGGATAATATCTCGTTCATGGTTCCATTTAAAGACCAAGAAAATTTTCCTGGTTTGTTTGACTTAGGTCGCATTCAGGTATTCTTTCATTAAATTCTTCGTCATTTGAAAGAAATTCTCTTATGTTCATCGATGTTTCACCAAAAATTTCTTTCGTTCTTTCATATTTATATAAGGCCTCTTCTGTTCCATCAGCTGATATAATAACGTTGTCCACCTATAAGTTCTTTCTTATCTCCCATGCCAATTCACTACCACGATTTTCTAGGTGGTAATTTAATGTTGCTGCTAATAAGAAAGGTGAGGATATTACTCCAAAAGGAACTCTCTTAAATCGGTAACATTTTATATTTTCATTGGTTAATTCTTTATCAATATCATCTAACCAAAGAAAACGTGTACAATTTCTTTCCTCATTTTGTAGTTCTAGTTGTAAAAATGCCTTTTCAATATCAGCGGTTATTACTATTCTCATCATCCGAAAACGTAATATTACTCCAATTAAATCCGGTAACATTACTGGACCTCGATATAGTACTTCATTTAAGCTTTTAAAACCTTTGTGATGTGCTGAGGCATCATATACTATTCTTAATTTAGTTGTTGATTTACTAGGAATTAATACTTCATGATGTGGTAAGTAATGAATAACGCCTACTTCATCCTTTGGAGGTACTACTTCAATTATACCCGAATGTAGTTGATCCATAAGTATTTGATGATATGAATGGAGATTTGAATTATGTTGTAAGCGGTTGATCAAATTCTTCAATCGTCCCAGGCATAATCCATATTTATTGCTTAATTTTTGTTTGGAGTCTTTCCATGGCCAACAAACCTGATATCTTCCACCCTGCTTGATGATGGTCCGTTTGAAATGCTTTAAAGCTTGATCATCATCATCATCTTGAGGTGATTCTTGGATACCAATCGTCTCTAATTTCCAAAAATTTTCTAGCTCCGAGTTAATATTGGAGTTTGTAGAATATACTACTTCTTTAGGATATAATTCGTCCTTGCAAAGTTTCTTAATATCTCCACTTCCAGCAATCATAGGACCAATTTTTGATTGAACCAACATATGCCCTGATTTCAATTCCTTGATTTCTCGTAGACTAATAAATTTGAAAAAATAATCAGCTCCAATCAATACGTCAGATTTTTTTCAATAATTTGTTAAATTTTGAATTTGAAGTTCATTCGATGTTTCCACTACCTGCAGTACGTTCGTTAGATAATCAATTACATTTGCTTGTAATGGCATGATTTCGCTTCCTGTAGTATGCGAGCAGTGGGACATGATTTCGGTTCCTTCACACCAAATGGAGCTATTCTCATAATTTGAATTTCTGTTTCGGTTAACTTTAATTGACGTGATAATTTTTTGGAGATGAAGGAGATTGTGATCCAATATCAAATAATACAAAGGCATTTTGTTGTAGTTGAGGTTGTGATGGATTAAAAACCTTTATCTCCTTACATAAAAGTAAAGTTTCCTTTGTCTGTTTGGATCGAGTTGTAGAGAGAAGTTGAACAATCCTTTCGTTTCGAAGGTCCAATTCTTTCTTGCTCTTCATTTCTTTGAGACATTGTATTGTTTAAAGAAAGTGAATTCCTTTTATTACATAAAGCACTATTATGTAAGCTTTTGCAATAAAAACATTGTTTTTTGACGTTACAATTCCGTCCTTTGTGACTGTCTCTAAGACAAATAGTACATTTCTTTAATACTTTGAGACGATTAAGTCGAGCATTGAGAGTCGTGTAGTTCACGCAATCGCTGTCACAATGATCTTGATTACAGAATACACATGGTCGTCTTTTCGTTGTTGTAGTTTTCGAAGTATTTTGATTATCTTTTATTGTCGACAGTGCTGAAGTTCCCCCGGGATTGCATCGTTGTTTTTGTTCCTGTTTGGTAGTTGTAGATTTAATATTGAGTTGAGTGAGTGAATGTTGACAGTTTTCTAATCTGTTCATTCACATTAACTAAACTTATTAAAAAGTTTCTTAGTTTGAGAATTGACCAAAGCATGTCCTTCTTCTTATGTTTATATATTTTATTTAATATCCATAATGGCAACTTGCTCTCGATCAAGATTTCAATATTTGAGTGTTCGAGGCTTTCTCCTAGAGCTTCTAACTGGCGTAGTACTCGTTCTATATTTTCAATTGTTCCAATCCATTCTTTTTCATTTCGTTTAATTGATTGGAGTTCGTTGTATAGTAATGTTATTACTATTGAGTGATCGCCATATTTTTCATTGAGCAGTTTTCTGATGACTTCATAATTCTCTGGAGCTATATCATATCCAGATATTGCTTGTAGAGCCTTTCCTTTAAGACATGAGTACAAGTAATTCAATTTTTGTATTTCTGGAATCGCTTGTGTGTGGACTGCTGCGTTAAAAATGCTCCAAAATTGTCGCCATTGTCTAGGGTCTCCATCGAAAGTAGGGAGCGATAAATGAGGAAGATTTACATTAATATTTGAAGAAGGAATAAATTTTGCTTCTTCTTTTGTTTGTTTGTTCGTCAACTCCTTTGAGAGTTGTTTTAAGTTTTGGTCGATTTCATCCTTGTGCATTGTTAGTGTTATGACCGCTTCCTTTCCTTCGTGTAATAATTGAAATATTCCTTGGTCACCTTCTGTTACTGTTTTGTATTTTTCTTCCTCTTCTTCTCTTCTTTTCATCGTGACGATTTGTTGAGTATATGTGAATCATTTATCGTTGATAGATTTAAGCGTAGTTACGCATAATTGGATTCTTCGAAGTTTATCTTCTAACACTCTTTTTCTTATCACATAAAAATCTTCTTTTTCTTCTATTGTCATACTTGAATCTGGAGATTTGATTTCCAATTGATTTACTTCTTTAAGAAGACTGACTAACCTTTCCTTTGCCGGTTGAAAGCTCGCGATAATGTGGCTTGACATGTTCCCGGCTCGTGGCACCAATAATTTTTTGTCGTGAAAGGTTGTCTGTTGGTTGATATTCGAATTGTTTGCAATACAGTAGAGGGATTAATAAGCCTTTATTTTTTGCAATCGTAGTATTAATAAACAGAGCAATATAAAAGAGAGAAGAAATTTTATATTAAAGAAGAAGATCGGAGGAATTGGTATTGGTTTAACAGAGAATAGCCGACAATGATGATCAGAATCATCATTTTGTTTATCAGAATTGAATTTATATGAGTGAGGATTGGGTGTGTCAAAAATAAGATCACATGTGTGAAGAATTGGATGTGTTTACAAAAAGAAGATTAAATTACTTGTGTGAATACCGTAATATTGTTTACAATTTAAAAAGAAGAGATGATTTATGATACTGTGAAATTAGTTAGAAGTTTTCGCGAAATTATAATTCGCGACAATGTGTACTGTATTATCAAACTTAATTTTCCGTCATGGAACACGTAAAACTCATGATAACATAAAGCAGATAATTTTGATTTGTGACAGTGATAGGTTGCAAAATTTAGATACACGCAGTGTGTAAAAAACAAATTTGAGTGGATAAAACGAGCGCAGTATGATTTTTTGGTGCTGTTTTAATAAAAATTCACTACATTGGAAGGTCGAGAACGAGGAACATAAATATTACACATTGTTTGTTCTATTTCCTTTCAAGTTATGGTAGAAATTATTGTATTGATTTGAAAAAGTATAAATGAAATTTAAAGAAATGCAAAGGATGACACACGAAGTCATTCAATAGTCAGAAAGTATACGATGAAACATATATAGTTATGATGGCAAGGTTATGTGTTAAAAGTACATGAGACCGTGAATAAATATTGAGATGTAGCATTACTACAACCGTTTTTGGTCCCTCAATAGGTGCTATCATTTTTACAATGCCTGCAAAAAAGGAAAAAAAAAAAGATAACTTCTTTTATTAAAGCTAACTTTCTGTCCTATTTTTTTTACTTAAAGTCCATGATTTCCTAAAGCAGATTTTGGTGCTGATTTCCTAAAACAGATTTTGGTGCTGAAAGAGGATGTGAAGTATATTTTTTTTGTTGGAATTTTTGTCAGAAAATTTATGTTTTTTCTTTTGTAATGTAAACAATTTGTCGTTACTTCACTTTTAAAATGTTTTACCTATATTTTGATCCTGTTGTACCACAAATCTGTCTCGATTCGCCTTATCGATTTTATATTCCACTGAAAACGGCGTATCCATTTGCGCTCGTACATGAGAAATCTATGATAATAGTACTTTCTGTCAGCGAAATACAAATTTATTTTTGTAAAGCTTAATTTTTGCTACATAATTTCATCTATCATTTTATTGTTTTTGAAACTTTATTGCAAATTATAGCTGGTGACTAACTTCGATTGGATGTTTTACGTGTTTGGTGGATGGTAAACTTCTGAACTGATATAATATCTCTTGAGTATGGTTACTGATACAAGCTGGATCATTTGGATAACATCGTTTTAGGCAGGAATAACCATCGTCCACCAAACTGCAATCCGTTTCAATTCACCGTCTTCGTTAAGTTTAATGCATAGTTTTTCAATCAACCGAGCCATAAAGAATAGTTTTGGGCTATAAGTATTACTGAATGTCAAAATGGTGATGAATCATTGAATAGAAGTAAGTAGTAGATATCTACCTAGTTCACTCGATCTGGATACTGAAATTGGTAGCATTTGTATGATATTGCATACTGAGTTATAAAATGATTTTGAAATGCGTCTCCTTGTTGCCAATAATCAGAATATATAGCAATAATTATATTAGTTAAGGTATATTAGCAAAGCATTCCAGACTATTAGTAACTCTTCTGATTTTTAACTTTTTACCATTTTCATCTTCCATAGCATTACAAATTAGTTAACAACGCCGGCTATACTGTTACGATTTTTTTGTTAGAAAAGACAAACGCACATGTATTCCATTAATTTATCAAAGCTAACATCCAATGCAACATTTAATTTGTATCAAACACTTACAAAACAAGATTGAAAACTTTTTTCTGACCTTATAAAGATATATAAACATAGAAACATCTTCTAAATACCATCAGTAAGAAGGCACGCCAAAGTTATTAACTTAGAAAGACAATTATAACTAGACATTTTAAAAATATCACTACGATATATAATATCAAATGGGACACTCCCCACTCAGCTTATCCGTTATTTCAGATGCATATGAATATAAATTGGAAAGCTTAGACCAATGCACAATTCAACAAAACCATCACTAATTGTCAATTCTGGTCATATCTGGAATCTATAGGATATTGTAGTCATAGTATTCTTGAAAAATTTTCAGGAATTCTTTTGCAAATAAACAAAACAAAAGAAATCGACCGTATTTAAAAAATAATGAAACATTTTACATTTAATTTTTCCAGTGCAATTAAACAAATATATTAATTACAAGAGAGCAAAAGCTACCTTTACCTTAATAAGTGTAAAAATTGTTTCTATTCCATAGGTTTTTTTTTTTTTTTTTGTTAGTAAGCAAGAAACAATAGACAAGCAGGAAGAATTAGAGAACAAAGATCGTCAAAGAATGCCGACACGATAAGGAATAACGTACTGATATGCGCTACAAATCGTTAAGATTTTGTAACGTCACTGATAAAACTAATATTACTGAAAAAATAAAACGAAATAAATAACGTCATACTATTAAAAAAATCTCATGAAAGACATACTATTGGTGTGTTTGATTAATTCAGCAAATTAAATGAAATAACAGGAAGAAACAAAATGAAATTAAAAAAGAGTTACAGACGAATTTCATTCATATATTCAGTCTTATATGAAATGATACGAACATATTATTTCCTGATTTGCTTGAAATAGAAGTGAAAATAGATGATCCACACGTCACCGTAGTCAAATAATCTTTTGCTCAAAATTACCAATTTTTGAAAATTAAAGATAAACTCGCCCGGGAATTGCTTAAGATCCAATCATTAACAAACTATTTGGAAGAGATCATAAGTCAACACAAAGAAATATCACAATATTCTTGATTTTGATTTAGTGTGTAGAAGAAAGTCACAAATAAAAATTAAGTTTTCACTAACTGATCACAAATAAATTAAGTTTTCACGTTATTTAAACATGAAAAATTTTAAACGTGCTAAATTTTCACATTATTGATCCATGATATATCCGGGTATTTCAAAATCAAGTAAAAAGTTACGACAAAATGTTGGCAAATTTATCCATATCTAAATCGATTGTTTTTTTAAGCAAAGTCAATTACTCGTTGAACTAAGATGAAACTGTCTTAATTCTGAAAATTTCATTTAGTTCAAACTATCAGAAAAAGGGGTTGTTCGTTGTCTACGATGAGGAGCAACATTGATTACTAAATTAGCAATAAATTTACTCTGAAATACACCATTAATACTAAGTCTTAAAATAAGCTCTAAAATGACCTCCTGCGGTCCATCCAGCGAATCTCTCAGAGCAATTATTGCTCCATTTTTTTCCTCACTTTTTTGCAATAGAAAATTACTTCGTACTGCCGGTAACACATAGAATTTTTCTGAAAAAGCATGCATCCAGTCCTTTTAGAATAGAAAAATCTCATGAATTATGAAAACGTAAGTGATTCCGATTTTATAAATATTCAATCTTCATCTGTTTTAAATATTTTATTATGGTAGCAGTTTAGTGCACTGTTAAACAAGAATAGAATAAAATAGCAAGAAGCATGAGAGTATCATGTGAAGTATGTTAGTCAATAAAACTGAAGCAAAACAATCACTAGCAGAATACCTACTCTAAAATTACTTTGTGATTATCAAATAAGTCAATGTATAATTAAATATGCAGCAATATAAATTGAAAAAAAAAAAAACCTGGTATGGCGCTTTTCAACTTCAATTCGAACTGAACATTGCTTGAAGGTGACGTTGGGCCACGAACAGTAAATAGTGTGATGGAAGTTCGTCTCGATGAAATTGGTTCTTGTCTTGGTATGGATGTAAACTCCCAACTTATGCGCATCGCATGATTTTTACACGCTTCTTCAGTTAATGAATCGCATAAATGGCTCAATCGGTTACAGCGACTAAATTGCAAAGTGTGAATCGAATATTGATAACATGCAATTAATTAGTTCTTTCATCCATAAGTTAGTGGTAATTTCAGCGTCAAATTATTATTTTTGAAATTGTTTGATAAGCAGAAGAAGAATCAAACAGAAGATAAAGACTAAAAATCATGCCAGAGATTTAATGTGAAGATTTGACAAATGCTATACTTTTTATAATTTTTGTCGTGCATGTAATTCAGTGGACAACGTATTACATGGCATTTAAAGCTTCCCAATGTATTTACACAAATCTGATCGTTCCCTTGACACTCACCTTTGGCACATTCATCAACATCTGGAAGTCAAATTATTTACAGGACATCACAAATAATCGATTTCATTCCACTATTCAAATTTTACATTGGTTTCAAAAATACTGCATAAAAATCTTTGAAGATTGTCAAATTTTTACTTCAAAATTAAGTACAGTTATGAAAATAGCTGCTACCTTTACATGTTCGGCCATCTTCTTGTATTTCATAACCAACAGGACACTGACATTTGTAGGAACCTGGAGTGTTAATGCATCTGCCCATACAAAGGTCATCACCTTCAACATGAGAGCCAAATTTAGTCAAACAAGTGTTATTTATAATACTAGTTGAATACAAATGTATACCTGAACCAGCCCAAAGAGTACACTCATCAATATCTTCACAGGTAACACCATCAGCACCGAGACGATAACCGCGCTCACAAATGCACTGGTAACTGCCAGGTATATTGATACACTTTTGCGCACAGTTTGCTTTACCAAGACTACATTCATCAATATCTGCAAAATGAAAGTTTAGAGTTTGCCGTATTTTTAAAACTGAGCACAACATAAGCCGTTTGTACCTAAGGAATGAAAGTTCATCATTATAATATATCAATCTTTCACGAAATGATATAAGAACTGAAAAAGGAATAGTTTGTTACAGGGTCAAGTCTTCCAAATTGAACCTAACTCCTTTCTCTGCACCTCACTCTCTTAACATTTCCATTTTTCCATTTTCATATGTTTCTAAATATTAGTATTCTTTAATATACTAACCATCACAGTTTCGCGCGTCTTTGGCAATCTTGAAGCCATCTTTACAATGACATTTGAATGATCCATACGTATTCTCGCAAGTTGCATGCAACGAACAGACGTGTCCCGCAAACTTCTTACATTCATCTACGTCTTCGCAACGTTTTGTCTAAAGCATAGTGACATACTCGTTTCACAGCTAAAACGTTTCATTAAATATTGAAATATATGGAAAAACTTTAACCAGCTAATTATTTAAAACATTATGAAACAACAGTGCAAGGAAAATAAGGTGATATAACTGTAAGAACTTTTTTTTCCAGTTTCAATTTAATTTAGTACTCCTAACTTACCGTATCATTGAATTCAAAACCCGCTGAACAACGACATTTATAGCTACCCAATAAGTTAATGCATTGTTTGTCACCACAAAAATGAGTCCCATCGGCGCATTCGTTAATGTCTAAAATGTGGACATTATCATAAGAAATAGATTTTTTACTTTTCATAACTAAAGCATATAATTTTTTTCATTTCAAAGAGCACCTCTACATGACATATGTTATTGTCACTAGAATCAAATAAAAGCTCTATTCTTAAGCATTACATACCTTGTGGAACATTTCGCTAGCAACACCTTACTACTCTGTTTTGAAAACAATGCTTTTTCTTACATTCAACAATATTTACCGACACAGAATCCAGTATCTCGATCCATACGATAACCGTTTGTACATAAGTTTCCTCGTTCTTGACAGCGGAATGAACCAGGAGTGTTTATGCATTCTTCAAATTGCGCACATCGCCCTATTATTTCACATTCGTTGACATCTATAAATTTAGACATTATCTTAAACATTCTCTTCAATCTTCACTTCCGTTAAACATTTGAATGAAATATTAGAAAGATAGTTTCAATCTTTTTTTTTGTAAAGTAAACAAATAAAACATCTGCATACAAATTGAGAAAGGAACCTTCACAACGTCCACGAATTGGTTTATAACCTATAGGACAGTCCATATTTGTGCATTCACCAGTTCGTGGATTCATCAATTCACCTTCAGCACACTTCTTCGGATCACAACGATAGCTGCCCTGAGTATTACGACACTGATACAATGGTCCGCAATCATGAGAACCAAGATTGCATTCATCCACATCTGTCGATAGTTATAAGCTTTTTTTTTTTTGTTAAAACTCACTGAGCTGATAGCTCACGGAACAGTTCATTTCATACGTAGAATAGTAAAATGAAGACTCATTCTCGAATAAAGAAGTATTGGTTGCAAAAAATTCTTTAAAACGATATATCATTTATCATTTGTTATAACTTAAGATTAGAGAAATACACTGTTGCGATGATGAAATAAATTTGGCAGAATCAATTAAACTATATTTGCAACCATGTTAATTATTAATTTCATTAATTATTGAGCAATACTGAAATTGTCACAAATAGTATTAAAATTCTTGAAGTGTTAATAAAATGAATATAAAACACACACAAAAAAAAAAAGAAAAAAAAAACAGGTTAAATTAAAGTAAACCAATGCACTGTTCAGTATCGCTATCCAGAGCATATCCAGTACCACAGGACAATGTTCGTATGCATTTAAATGAGCCAGGAGTGTTCAAGCAACGTTGACTTTCCAGACAATCATCCGCTAGTAGTAAGCATTCATCAATATCTGAGATCAAAAAAACCACATGCAGATAACAATCAGAATATGAAAGCGTTGGTTTATATTCCAATTCAGAACTTTTTTCTGAATTTTTTAAATAAGTCAATTTAAAAAATTCATAACAGTTATGTGTTTAGACTAATAATGTAATAATGAGAACATTCATTTGTTATCAGAAATTATCATTGGTTTGATGACAAAAATTTGTGAAGAACGCTACTCTCAGATGGTTTTTATTCCAAGTGAATTTAAATATTTCCTAACTTAAAAAAAATGAAAAAATAAATAGCCGACATTTGCATTTTGCGCAAGAAATTACCTACACAAACGGAGCCAATATCACTCCAATAGAAGCCTGGTAAGCAAACGCAGGAGAACGATCCAGGTGTATTGAGACATAATGAATTAGGCAATGGGCACACCGAATCCCGTGCATCGCATTCGTTTATGTCTAGAAGCCTGGCTTTTTGGGTAGCAAAAAAAGAAATTAAAGTAGCTCCCAATTACAACATTAAAACAAAAAGCAAAAATCTGGGAAGCAAGTGGTTCAAAGTGAAGAAAAAAGTGGGTTCACGTAGATTTCAAATTATTAGTGATGAAGGTAGGACAACAACGGTGTGACATTTTTTTTAAAGGCATTCATCTTATTAATAATATAATTACTGAAAAGTTTAACTTCAATTGTTTATTTGATTGCCAGTCATTCACATTAGCAAATAATACTCCCAAAATTATCTTTCAAATTCAAAAACAAGGATCATATTATAGCGAATCGGACTGCTTTTGAAAAAAAAAAAAGGAATTTTTATTGTAAAACAAGCAAGCATAATAAGAGGCTAAAAATATGCTGAAATTTGCTAGAATGCATACAAAATGCAATGTTCAGGCATGCAAAATACGAGACGTGCATTTTTATAAAAACTGCAATTTTTGAAAAAGTTAAAAAAAAAAAGACAATGTATAAACTACTAGCAACGGTAAGATTACAAGAACGCACAACTAGACAAAATTAATAGATAATCAAAAAAGAAAGAAGTGTAAGATTTTAAAGCAATATTACCTACGCAGTATTCTGAAGATGACACACTTCAACCAGCAAGACACATCTTTTTCATTTCAATTTCTTCTAAGATCGCTTGATGCTTCATAACATTAGACCAAACGTGATTTTCGCTTCCATAAGATTGTATGCTCTCATAATACTATCACCTAATAACAACGATATCTCACACCGACGGTTTTCTCATATCGTTTATTATTCGGTGCAGAAGCAGTTGTGATACTAAGCGAAATTTTCTTATACCACCTGTTCGCAATTGATACATCCCACTTTATTCAAAAATTATTACCAAATACTCCTCAATGGGTTAAACACTTTTTGATAAAATGCAAGAAGCTTTACAACACTGTGCCAAATGATGGTTCAGTTGCAATGCAGGCAAGCAGTCATTGAAAAATTAAGCATGTGCAAGATTGTGCAATAGAAAGGTGCAGCAAAATACCTTTACGTTTGGTTATATGAAAAAGCTCGCTAACCAATACAAGAGTAACCATCCGGTCCTAATTCATACCCGGGATGGCAAGAACATTCCACTGTAGCACCTCCTCGGTCTGTACATATATGTTCACATTTTGTAGATATGCAACGATCACCAACACTCAAAAGATCCAGCAAATCCGAATTACCTAAAAATATTTAACTTTCAAGTGATATTAAATTTATTTCTATGTTATTTATATTGTCTCATTGCTCACGAAAATAAAATGCAATTACTGATTTTCCAACTATAGCTTCATTACAGTTAAATTTTTCGTTCATATGCAGCTTGCCATATTTTTGGCAATTCCATTTTTTGAATAGCTAAGGATATTTGCTCAAAGGTATGGTATGCATCACTTGCATGGTTCACCATATATAAGCACTTGAGCATCTTTCAGAAATATATCAAGATAGTAATTATAAACTTTCATAACGATGATATTGTTTTGATTTTGCATTTTCAAAACAGCATTGATGAAAGGAGCGCAAACATGCTGCGCCAAAACCATTCGGTGCTACACAGCTTTTATCATTTCGTGATAATTCCTTGGCCAAGAGACAACATTCACAACATTCCTATAGTCATAATGCTTTAATTATTTTATCATATTGTATAAATTAAAATAGGGATTGTATTAAGTGTTGAAATTTACCATATATATAAAATTTGTTGATCAATTCCTAACAATATATTCAACAGCTAACTGATAATTACCTTACGAATTCCTCCGCCAATGTCAGTAATATTTAATAAACATTGATCTTCGCTTTCAGCCATTTTTACACCATAATTGCAATTATGCTCCAGCAATGTATCCATGCAGCATATCGATGCTGTCAGGATGCAGGTACTAGCCGTTTCATTAAGCTTTATTTCAGCACACGATAATAACTGTTCAAAATGTATCTTACCAATTGTGCAGCAATGTGATAGTTCGCTTGCATCAGTAAAAGCTGTAATTTTCTCTTCACTTATAAATTGATATTTTAATTTTACATTATTACATTGGAAGAAATTGACTTTTGATTTTTGTTGTTAAATTAAAAAGAATTAAATTCTCAATTTTGGATGTATTCTATTTCATGTACTATGTAGAACTAATTCAAATAGATATCCTTGTGTAAAATGGAGAAATATACTGCAAATAAAATAATCCAGTTTACTTAATCTAAGGAATAATTCAACCACCATAATCAGACATTCGCTTTTGACTAAGATCAACAAAAACATGCATTTATTCCAATAGCATTTAGTAACAAGATGCTATCCAAAAACAAAAAAATTAAAAGCATATAAATAACCTACCAACGACAAGTATAAATGATAGGAAATTTGGGTTTCTTGTCAATTGCCGCATCGAAAATTCCACAACATCTTGAAATATATATTAAAAGTCTTTGATTCTCATCAAAATCACTACTTCCTAATGGTAAACCTTCTGAAATCAGTTAGTGAGATTGATATATATTGAAAAATAAAAAAAAAAGTGTGATAGAGATATATCTCAACCTGTCATTTCATCGGAAGAAAATAGTTTTGCATTTTAGGAACTGACACCGACAACCACAGCGTGAACGATTTCCTCTCTTCCAATTTAATTAGCTAACACAAACCGCAACATCACTGGTGATTTATTTGCAATCTTAAGGTGATAAATATGTTGCATTACTATGCATCAAACTAGTGCCATACTTCACGACATGATGAAAAATATTAAGTTAACATTTTATTCGGAAGAAATTAAGGGAGAATGAAAATTCTAGACTAACAAGAATCGAAAACCTAAAGGTCTTCGTTTTCGAAATACAGAACAAACCACTATGTAAAGCAGTAACTATTGTTTGATTAATTGAAAGTATAAAATGAAAGAAAGAAGGAAAAAACATGCAAAATTTAATAGATAGTTAAAAGATTGTACGAATAGCAATGATACAGGTAAGCAGAAAAAGTATGATTTGTATGATTAATTATTGATTCCAGTAATGGATCAAATGCTTCTTATGCAGCTTTTCAGTTAGCGAGTTGTGATGATAAGAAATGATCTATTTAACTTTCAGCTTTCTCCTTTTTTTCCTAACTGAAAAGTTCAAACAAAGGAAAAACAGAAGAAGAAGTGAGATAGGTGTTGTGTGTATTAGATGTATGTGTTGCTTCCAGCTTGAGAATTCTTGGCATTTGCTTATCTCGTTTTCATCTTATCCTTTCAATTATATCATACCGAATAAAAATTCATTTCTTTTTCCTAACAATTGAATCATTACCATCTATTTATTTACACTATAATAAAAATATTTGCTATGATTCGGTAAATATCTTAGATGGAACAAGTTTTATAAATTATGAAATGATCACACTACATGAATTATTTTCATTAAGTAATGTATGCTTTAGTTATGCATTTATAATTTCCAAACAAAGTAGAAAAGTGAATAATGATGTGAAAACGTTGAGTTAGAGAATATAAATGAAGCAATCTGTTGTAATAAGAAAGCATGCATATCTTTGCTATTTAATTTGTGAAACGCAATTTGGAAATTGGGAAATGTTGATAAACATCATAGCAAAGATTATTCATCAAAGAAGATATTAGAGAATAGGAAGCAAATATGATAGTTCTAGTAATTATTACAAACATTATTTATTCCTAATGTTTTAATATAATGATTACGATGTATGCAATAGAAGTTTTGCACATCTAATGCAATCCAGCTTTAGATATTCGGGTTAGAAAATAGCAATTAACTCATTCAAATTCGTAAAACAATATTTCAAATAACAGAACAGTTGTTAGTTAATTATTTAACGAAGACAGAAAGAAGTATGTAAGTGGTTCCTTGATAAGTATTCCAAGACTGCAATACAAAAATAAAAAAAAAGAAGCACTTTAACAGATTTCTCGATAAAAGCTGTCTGGCAACAAAAATGTCGATGATAGCAAGCATTGACAAGAAATAGATAACAGCGCCCAAGCAGCACACATTAATTACTATTCATCATTTATCAGTATAGCAACCAAACTTTAATATTGCATACAGGTGCAGACATGGACACATATGTAAGTAGGTGCATATATTTTTATTATATATATATAATAAACCAAAGAAACTGAAACCCGAAATGAATTAATGATAAAATAGAGAAGAATATGCGTATAACTTCCAGAGTGTAAAATGGATGAGTAGGGAAAATATTTTGAGGAAATAATACATTCCAAGACTGATTGATATCGGCTAGCATTTCTGAGGTGCATTTTCATGGTTTCAATCTTTAGTCTCAGTAATTGAGTTCTACCGATAATTAACCATTGCGAGATGGAAAATGAACAAAAAATTTGTAGTTTGATTAGTTTTGCTCCCATTATGCGACTAATTATTGTTTAAAGGTGATTTGATAAATGAGAAATTATGAATTGCTTACGGCAAGAAAATGAATGATAAAATAACAATATGTAAAATTTTATCATATATAATTGCAATCTGTCATTAATAACCAATATTCCTGTTAATTTCTCGCTGATTTGATTTGATCCCTTTTCTTTTTTATTTTTCCAACAAAAAAAAATTAGTATAAATAGAAATCATTCTTGTGTTTTCATGTTTAACTACATAGTGGTTTGTATAGGATGCGTAAAAGTAAAGCTTAGTGGTTTGAGATACTATTAAATGAAAGATCAATATTATGATGTAAAGCTTACAGGAAAGATCTCTATGGAATTGAAGGGGCAATAAAAGAGTCCGAATGGAAAATTACCGGAACTAGCAGACACCTAATCAAAGTAACTGAATAGCTAGAAGTTGGATAGCATTTCCTGAATATCAAAATTTCAACTACTAATATGATCCAATTAGTTAGTATGCAATAAGTAAATTTAAATTCCATCAAAGCCAAGTTAAATACATTCTTATTTATTTTTATCGTATATAAGATTTAATATCATTTCAACTCTGATTAGAAAATTATGAAAGTTAAAATGATTAACATTATTAGACTTGTTTTCTGCTAGCATTATCATTACGTTGATATGCTGTAAACATCCCAGAAGACCATCATTTTCAAGGCGTCCTGCGATATTAGCCGAGGCCGCACCATGAGTGCGGGAGGGAGTAGCAATGATTTGTTCTGGGTTTTCTGAGCATTAGAATTTGTAAGTGATTAATATAAACGTAAATAAGGTGCGGAATTATAATGTTTCATTCTCTAAAGACGAGGAACAACAGTATTTGCACAAAAATGATGTCAACTGTACTCGTTTTCATATGTAATTTCATTCATTTCTATTTGTCTAGCACTTTTATTTCGTTATAAGTAAAGTAACTTATTTTAGTTTTATTCTTAATTTAATAAATATGTGGGTTCTATAATATGCAACATTATATAGCTTCATGCTTAGCATAGTACTTCTGCTAGATTAATAATTGGAAAATTCTAGTTATTGAAATGAATCCAACGAGTTCATTTCCGATGTTATCAGTCGAAGAACTAGGATTAAACAAGAAGTGCAAAGAAGGAAGAGCTGACAGTGATTGTTATCAGCAGAATGATCAATATTTCACGCGATTTATTCTATCATATGGTTTGTTGCTTTGCTACTCTGAACGTTGTAATTGCATATTCTTCACGTAAGATTCGGAAGGTTTTGTATTTCATACGGAGGAAAATAATGCAATGGAATGTGAAATTTGGAAGAATGAGCGCTGTTTTATGTATTTCTAGATTATCTCCGATCGAATTTTCCAGATACCACAAAATTCTGGGAAATATCAAGTGCTTTTAATTTATTGTGTATTCCTAGCAGTTTGCAGTATACTGTTTTTCATTGTCCACAATCTTTATTTTACTGATGGTAGGAATGCTGCTTTGTAGTTGGCTTACTAAGCAAGGCATCAAAGCTTTTATTTCAACTGAGATTGCTACTATTTGCAATGCTAACATAGGAGATTTACATTGTGCAGCAATTGTGATGCTTTAAGAGATTTTAGCGCAGTTAGATATATTTAAATTTGATGCTTTTATATATTTTCTTGTTTATTTAAGGTGAACTTCACGAGAAACAGCTTCACTTACTTCGACATCCAAAGACGGGCAGTGCAACACTGTATGCAATTGGAAATGAAAGAGTAGAAGAATTGTTGAAGTTTGATGACGGTTTCAGGTATAGTTTGTGAAAGCTAGAAATTTCTGCAACAATGTTACTTTTAAAATTGAGACACTGGAAATGAATGAAAACATTTTAGAAATGGAAATGATCGGTTTGTCGATATGTACGTCTTCTTTTTACAGTACAAAATTTTGTTTGAGGTCAGTTCTGCTTGGTAATAATGTGGTTAGTAATGGCTCATTAATTTTATTGGTACCAGTGAGTCCCGTACTGCTATTGCTACCTTATTTGCGAAAATTTGCGAAGGTAATAATTTGCAGTCATTTATTAAAACAAAACGATACATGAACGTAAGTAGAGATCATTTTTTGCATCAGTGGTCATACTTTTCCCAAAACACTGTTTCAGTACCAAAAACAGTTTTGTAAGAATGCATGATGATTTGTATAAAAAAATAGGTTTTGGGAATCACTCATCTCTATTATGCCAAAAGTGAAGAGGTAAATAACATCAAGCTTCTGTATTTTTGACAAAAGCTACCAACATGCTAGATATATTTAAAAATATTTTCATCGTCATTTCTAAACTCAGTATTTAAGTTTAGATTGTTTGAAATATTTTTCTTTAGAATATTTGTGCTTTTGCAGGATAATTATGTTTCACTAAAGGAAATTTTAGTGGATGATTATTTTCCATCAATAAAATTGCTTGAGAATGTTAAAGCTGTAAAGTCATCGTTGAAGCATGCTTGTCATTGTAAAGGTTCGTGCGCTTCTTAAATTGCTGTTTTAGCCAGTCTTTTTCCTTTTTTTGTAGAAAGGTACCATGACTTCCAGCGATATTGATATGATATATCGTTTTTAGAAAATGCCTAGAAATCATAATTCATCTCACATTTAGAGATATCAAATATTGAAACATACAAATACAGTGAATCCTTGCTGATGGATTATATAATGAACAAGATAAAGTTGTTGAAAAAATCTGATCATTATAGTAAGTTTTTAATAAATTGTTTTGTGGTTGCTTATAGGAAATAGAAATAATTTTCAAGATCTCAACACAATGATTTTTTCTTTCAGTTGAATTTTAGCTCTTTCTCGGTGAAGTGCACACTGAATTTTTTGACTTGTTTCGAGATTGTTTATAACTGGTTATAAATATTACAATGAGGGATCAAGTTTCAAATGACTATAAGAAGAAAATAAGAGGAAATTGAAAAAAAAAAAGGAAATATCATGACTATGGAAGGAAAAGTAGAAAAAATTGATGAGACATTTATCTGTTTTTAAATGAAGTAATTTGGTAGTGATCGGTACTGTTAGTTTATTTAAGTTTTTTTGAGCAAGGAATTAGGGGAAAAAGAGATAACGTTGTTACTGTGTTATTACTAACTCATGTATGTTTTTAATACAAAAAAATTCGTGAATTCATGTATCTTTTTTAAAAGTTCTTTAGAACCAGATTCCGACTGTGCTGTTCGAGGTATTTTGGAGAACCTCCCGGCTGATATACTGAGGTTGGTAGAAATCGATTTTGTTCACGGAGGAAATGAAGATGCGCCATCGAATAAACGCCGAAAAAAACAGCATTGGAGGGAAGGGGGAGAAAATAACTGGAAATGATACATTGCAAGCAATGGTAATATCCAAACTGCAATAGTTTTTAGCAATATGGAATTTTTTTTTGAGAACTGAATTTGTAGAATTTTGTTCTTGTTCGTTCGTATTCTAAGACTACTTTGGAAATTTTGTCGAAAACTTGCTATAAATCTTGTTCTTCTATAACCAAACCGTTATATCATGTCATCAGTTTTAGTTTAAATTAATTGTAAAGTTATATGAATCAGCTTTGCTTTAATGATTACGTAGTATTTTCAGGATTCACAATCACTGAAATGCCAGTCAAACGTACTCGCTTGAGAAGTCACTTAACACTATATTCCTAAATTGACCTATTCAGATGATCCATCCGTGCTTTCATATGACTGAGCCATTTGTTTTGTGGAAAAATAGAATTTATTGCCATGTAAAGCCCAAAATTCATCCTTTATTGTTATCGGAGTTAAAAATGGGATCTTAAAAAATGCTTCTTGATGCTGATGAGTGCCATTATTTGCACATCTTGTTAGGAAATTACTTCAGAAATGATGTTTGCAGATATAAACTTTAATATAATTCATCTGTTGTTTATCATTTTTCTGGGTTTTCTTTCCACTTTTAACTGAATTTGGATGAAATTTGTAGTAGATCATGTCGTTTTAATTAATTGGTTTAAGTTTGGTAGGCATGTGTATTTATCCAGGGAAGGGATTATTAAATATATCACCCCCAATCGGTGTATTTTCATTGGTCTCTAAACGTATGGTCATTTTTTGATTTGTATCATTGACGTTACTGTGGAACAGGGTAATGGGGGAACTATATGTCTGGAGAAGTCTATATTTGCTGTCAAGATATGTCATTAGTCACTTCTTGATTATACGCCTTTCTATATTGCAGTGCCGATAAGTAGAGGCAGAATCTATGTTTTATCATGGAATATATAATATGCAGAAAGTTGACTAAATCATCTTTTGATAGAAATTATTCATTCATGTTTGGGTTGACCATATATATTATTGATGACTTCATTCAGCGTCTTGCATCACTAATACTGGTTATACAACAATTAGTCTTTGGCTATGGATAAGTTGGATAAAGGCTTGGTGAAGATACTTCAAAATAAAGCAACAGGAACTGTTGCCATCTTCGAGCGGAGCGTGGGTTTTTTTTTTTTGTGCTGATCTTGAGTTTTATATGTTTGGGACTTGGACAGATCCCGAAGCATGTTTTGCTGAGTAATGGGCCTCTTTAGGCTCAATGTTAATACGAAAACTATATGTCTGGAGAAGTCTATATTTGCTGTCAAGATATGTCATTAGTCACTTCTTGATTATACGCCTTTCTATAAACAGGGGATAGATGCATTTAATTGATAATTCTTGTATTATCTCTAAATAGAAAGTCGACTTTGTTTTATTGTAGAATATCCTATATATGTAAGTCTATTTGATTTTAGGAGTTTTATTCATGCTATGATGACGATGCACTTTTCATTGCAAACAATGTATTCTGCAGCGAAGTTGGTCTTCGACGATGCAAAATTGGTGAATATATGCTTCTCAGGGTTCAGTATTAATATGAAAAGTATATATCTGGAGGGATATATATGTATATTTGTTTATATTTAATACTAAAATATGTCGTTAGTCATTTCTTGACTATACACCTTTATGTGAAGTGATTGGCATATTTGATTGATAAATATTTGTAGGTGAAACCGAATTGATGTATCATGTCTTAAATAATACGCAATATTTGCGCGTTGTTCATGATGCTATCTTAGTGAAACATTATCGTGTGGAGGTATACACTGCAAATGCTGGAAAGTGGAAACTTAAAGCAAAAGTGAGCCTTTTGCTGGTTGCAACAAAACTTTTTTGGATTTTTTGATTGCTCTGTATTGCGCTTAAAAAGATGAGTGAAGAGGATTTGTGAATTTCGCCTGTTCGCTCAAATCTATTGCAAGTCATCATAATGATTATTAGTGAAGCAGGAAATGAAATGCATCAAATGATATTACTGGGTATTTGTAGCTAAATTTCAGACTAAATACGGGAAATAAGAAAAATTTGAATGATTTCTGTTATTCGTAATGTCCGACTGATAATGCAGTTTCGTGTATCTTATATGTTATTGCAGTTGGAAATGAGGACCTCATCTAGAATCCCCTTTTCCAGATCTTATTTCAGCAGTTTTAAAGCAGTTATAAATTTATTTATTTTTAGGGTTCATTAGGATGTTTAAATGATTTCGAAGATATTGTTGGTAACAGTGCTGAATTGTGCGAGCTTACAACAGTTGCAGCATTAACTTTGACAGAAAGGCATGACTCCACCGAAGTACCGTCATTTGTTATTCATTACTCTGGTCCTTGTACATTTTTTAATTTCTTCATGTATTAGAAAATTTTCCGGGAATTCCTTAACTGATAATCAAAACTAAATTTCCTAGGTTTTTTGCGAATTTGAAGCTATCTTTTATTCAGTATGTGGTCTCTATTGTTTCCTGTAATGTTCGGGAAATGCAGCTTACAATCGCTGAATTCCTTGATACTGATCACTTTGTGAATTTGGAGGTAAGAGCAAATGATTTCAATAAAAATTAGTGTCGTTCATCTGAAATGGTCGGAATTCTGGTGCTAACATGATCTTTGTTCAAATAACTCATATGAAAATCTGTTTAGAAATGTTTGGCTGCATTGGTACCACGAGAATGTTTGCTGGTTCCGATTAAAATGGGAATATCGTGTGTCACTTTATCCAGTGAAAATAATGGCCAGTTGCATGCTGTACTCAAAAAAGCTGGTATTAAAAAAGAACTGTTTCAGTTTAGTGAGCAGCTTCCTACTGCGCTTTCTGATCAAATAGCTGAAATGATTGATCCAAAATATAAAGGTAATTTTTTGCATAAGTTGTTTATTTTTCCATTTATTATGATATCTTTGTTGGAACTCGAAACAGTTGAATTGATTTTGGGTATATGTAGAAAAATAAACACTGCTTTTCTCATCATACAAATTTAACATGGGTCGAACCGATTTCTAGTACAGAAATATTTAGGAAAGCATAAATGTCGTAATTCTAAACATTTTTTGAAAGTGAAATTATTCTGTTACTATTTTATCATGCATTTTCATCAAAATCTTTCTATGAAAGATTTGCTTTATTTCAGATGTTCATCTTTCAAGGGCACAGAAGGCTTGCTTTATGGGGTTGATTCAACATTTGAATTTAAATAATTTTGGAATGAAAAGTGGGAAATTTCAGTTACGTAATTACAAATCGGCGGGTTACATGTATTTGAATTCCGCCACTGTAAAGGCTCTCGAATTGTTCGGTGCATTCCAAGAAGATGGTATTTTTTGTTCGGTTATTTGTTTACTATGTTTATGTAACTATTCAGTATGTGTAGCCTTCTTCGGTACGACGATAACTAAAATAACGTCTGAATAAAGTATGATAATTGGATTAAATTTCAGAAGATTTGATGAATGATGTAGGCTCTCTTTACGACTTATTAAATAAATGTCGCACTCCTCAAGGACAACGCCTTTTACGTAAGTATTGAGAACGTAGTTTGGATCTAATTTTTTTTGTGCTTATTTAAACGAAACAAATAGGTAATGTTCTGCAGTCATTTCGAGCTATAGCATACCTTTCAATTTCTTTGATATAATTGTAGGTGACTGGATTCGACGACCTTTACACGATATACGCAAAATTAATGAACGACTGGATGTAGTTGAGGCTTTTGTCAGTAATTTTTCGTGCCGTACTATACTTCATGACGATATCTTACGTCGAATACCTGATATCACAATAATTACCAGAAAATTAGTACAAAAGAAAGCAGGCCTGCAGGTGCTGACAAAATTTTTCATGACTATGGAATTTTCGTCACTTTTTTGAGTTTTCTTTCAAAGAAAGTTTTCATATCTGGGGAGAGGGAATGAAACAATTAGAATTGCTGCGAGAAAAAAGGCAAGCTTTTCGTTTTTAATGGTTTTTATGGTATGTTAAAAGTAAGTATCAATTTAAAGGAATGTTATCGGCTTTACCAAGTCGCCCGTCTGTTGAAACGATTCCATCAAGTATTAGATGAACTTCATGCTTCTTGTGGTTCCTTGGCACCGTCGGTTAATGATTTATGCTTGGTAGGTGTACAAAGCTATGTTATCGTAAAAGTCTATTTGTGCAAACAGTATTCGCGATTTTATCTGTTTGTATTTTACAACCAAGAATTCGTCATTTCAAGATATCTTACAGGAGCCGCTTGCTCTAGCACAATTGCAGTTTGAAAAGTTCATGGCACTAATTGAAAATACAGTCGATTTAGCTTATTTGAAAGAAAAGGGATCATATAGGATCTTACCAAGTATCGACGAAAATCTGCTAGCAAGTGCTGAAAGAATACACAAAATTGAAAAGAAGTGCAAAGCTGTGTTAAAACAGGTTATTTGTTGACTTATCGATTTACTATGCATTTGCTAGATCAGTATTATATTAGGTTGATATTTATTGTCAGGTCGGTATATTTGTTTGTTGCTGGTATTTAAAATATTATTTAGATATTTTTGTTTTCAGGTTTGTTCTGGAATAACGGAAACAGTTAAACTCGATAAAACTGAACATCATGGTTTCCATTTCCGAGTCACTTTAAAGGTGAGATTTGCTGTGTAACGTTGATCTAATTTGATCTATGTAAAGATTAAATAGTGTTAGATTTTATTTAAAAATTTTTCTTCGCTAAAAAATATATAGGAGTATGCGATTTTTTTGCATGTGATATATTTGGGAGAAATAATGTTTCAGGCTGAAAGATCAATTAGGCAGTTAGGTATGAAGATTCTTGAAACAAGTAAAGGTTCCGGTGTACGCTTTACTTGCAAGGATTTGGATACACTTAATCGCGAATATTTGAAACTTGCTTCTTGCTACGAAGCAATTCAAAGTAGTTTTGTTAACATGGTTGTCGATATTTCTTGTAAGTTATGTTTCCATCACTTAGAAGTTATTTTATTT